GCAGTGTACCAGGAACTGGTATTTCCAATAAAGAAGATATCATATTCTTTCTCCCTTGGTCTTATTGAGACTTGGAGGACAAGAAGAAGATAACTGCTCTTCCCCATACAGCTAAGACATCATGTTTATGGCTCCTGAGCTATGAGTTTGACACCTGTTATAGACTTGTGCTGAGAGTTGCTTCTAATCATTCATGTTTAAATGTGCACCTTGTCTTTCCAGTGGGGGATTCAAAACCAGCTAGATGTTGTGCTAGCCATATCATTCCCTTGGGTACTGTTGGCTAGCATGTTGTAATTATGCTAGCCCAAAAGGTCATTTGCCTTAGGATGGACCTTCACATCTTTACTTGAAATCATGGAAAACTGAATTCTGTGCTATTAAACGTAGGGAGAACATACAGATTCAATTGTACTTGAGTCGTTCTCTTTTTGCTGCACTCAGAGCCCATATAATGGGCCTAGATGTGTGTGTGTCTGTGTTTGTAGGTAGAGGGGTAGGAATAGGAACAAAAGGATACAAGGTAAGATGTGAAAGGTTAAGGAGATGAGGTGAAAGGGTATATAAGTGTTAGAGAGATTGTCCTCCGGAGATTGATAGTGAAGTGAAGGTTTATGAATAATAACATTTCTCTGCTATCAGCAAATAACTCTTAAACCCCACTGGAAAAGCATGTGTTTTATTTGCCTTGGTTGGTTAGTTTCAGGGGTGGGCAGTTATTTTGCCTGTAGGGTCATTTAATTAGTTCTGATGAGCTGTCGAGGGCTGTGATGGTAGCCCCGCCCCTTAACAGGAGCCCCGCCCCCGGTTGCCATCTTGAGACTGGAAGTCCCTCCCCTTACCCCCAGAAGGACTCCTTTTGGGACAGGGGTTTGCTATCTTGGAACTGGAAAAAACCCAAATTATATACTAAGAATCAAACATCTACTATAACATATTTTAATTTTATTAAAAAATATATTTTTGTCCTGATTTGTGTTTGCATAGTGTGTATAGAGGCTATTGCATAATAGCTCAACATTAAGTCTTACTCCTGTATATTGTGGTGGTGTCGGGGGCATGTGTGTGTGTGTGTGTGTGGGGGGGGG